ACTGCCATTATTGGAAAACTGAGATGCTGTTTTCATTCCTCGATAGTTGCTACTTAGTAAAGCTGATCATAGAATTCCCGGGATCACAATAAAATACAGTGGATCGCATGGCCGGTTAGCTCAGTCGGTAGAGCTCGTGCTAATTACGCGAATGTCATGGGTTCGAGCCCCATATCGACCAAGTAGTATTTTTTTTAAATATAATTTAGCGAACGTTTCTTACTTAATAGTACGAAATTACATCACAAGGTCAAAAGGTAGTACACCAAGTATTTAAAAGTACGCGAGAGTTGGGATGGAGGTTTCCGACATGTTAGTAGGCTGTCAAGTAAGGTCTAACAGATTGGGAAATTGAAAGTCTTATATTACACTTTTAAAGTAATCGACTATATATTGTCAAAAACTGTAGAAATTACTTACATAAATTTTCTCCCCGATCATCTGTTGTTTTTCTCCTCGTCGGTGGCCCTGCCACACAACTACCACCTTCCTCATTGGGCCACCATTGCCCAACCCCAACTACCATTATTAGAAAAAAATAAATGAGATGACGTTGGCATTCCTCAAGAGTTGCTACTTAGTAAAGCTGATCATAAGATCCCTGAACAGAATAAAGTACAGTGGATCACATGGTCGGTTAGCTCAGTCGGCAGAGCGTCGTGCTAATAACGCGAATGTCATGGGTTCGAGCCCCATATCGACCAAATAGTATTTTTTTTTTATAATTTAGCGAACGTTTCTTACTTAATAGTACGAAATTACATCACAAGGTCAAAAGGTAGTACACCAAGTATTTAAAAGTACGCGAGAGTTGGGATGGAGGTTTCCGACAAGTTAGTAGGCTTATAGAGGAGCCTGTCAAGTAAGCTTAAACAGATTGGGAAATTGAAAGTCTTATATTACAATTTTACAGTAATTGATTATATATTGTCAAAACTGTAGAAATTACTTACATAAATTTTCTCCCCGATCATCTGTTGTTTTTCTCCTCGTCGGTGGCCCTGCCACACAACTACCACCTTCCTCACTGGGCCACCGCTGCCCAACCCCAACTACCATTATTGGAAAAAACATAAATAAGATGATGTTTGCATTCCTCGAGAGTTACTACTTAGTCAAGCTGATCATAGAATTCCCTGATCAGAATAAAGTATAGTCGATCACATGGTCGGTTAGCTCAGTCGGCAGAGCGTCGTGCTAATAACGCGAATGTCATGAGTTCGAGCCCCATATCGACCAAGTAGCATTTTTTTAAATAATTTAGCGAACGTTTCTTACTTAATAGTACGAAATTACATCACAAGGCCAAAAGGTAGTACACCAAGTATTTAAAAGTATGCGAAAGTTGGGATGGAGGTTTCCGACAAGTTAGTAGGCTTATAGAGGAGCCTGTCAAGTAAGCTTAAACAGATTGGGAAATTGAAAGTCTTATATTACAATTTTACAGTAATCGATTATATATTGTCAAAAAAAGTAGAAATTACTGACATCAATTTTATTCTCCCCGATTATCTGTTGTTTTTCTCCTCGTCGGTGGCGTTTTTGCTACACAACTAGCATCTTCCTCATTCGGCCACCCGTTGCCCAACCCCAACTGCCATTATTGGAAAACTGAGATGCTGGTTTCATTCCCCGATAGTTGCTACTTAGTAAAGCTGATCATAGAATTCCCGGGATCACAATAAAATACAGTGAATCACATAGCGTTGTGCTAATAACGCAAATGTCATGGGTTCGAGCCCCATATCGACTAAGTAATATTTTTTTTATAATTTAGCGAACATTTCTTTCTTAATAGTACGAAATTACATCACAAGGTCCAAAGGTAGTACACCAAGTATTTAAAAGTACGCGAGAGTTGGGATGGAGGTTTTCGACATGTTAGTAGGCTTATAGAGGAGCCTGTCAAGTAAGCTTAAACAGATTGGGAAATTGAAAGTCTTATATTACACTTTTACAGTAATCGACTATATATTGTCAAAAACTGTAGAAATTACTTACATCAATGTTTTCTTCGATCATCTGTTGTTTTTCTCCTCGTCGGTGGCCCTGCCACACAACTTCCACCTTCCTCATTGGGCCACCGTTGCCCAACCCCAACTGCCATTATTGGAAAAAAATAAATGAGATGACGTTGGCATTCCTCAAGAGTTGCTACTTTGTCAAGCTATCATAGAATTCTCTGATCGGAATAAAAATCAGTGGATCACATGGTCGGTTAGCTCAGTCGGCAGAGCGTCGTGCTAATAACGCGAATGTCATGGGTTCGAGCCCCATATCGATCAAGTAGTACTTTTTTTTTTATAATTTAGCGAACGTTTCTTACTTAATAGTACGAAATTACATCACAAGGTCAAAAGGTAGTACACCAAGTATTTAAAAGTACGCGAGAGTTGGGATGGAGGTTTCCGATAAGTTAGTAGGCTTATAGAGGAGCCTGTCAAGTAAGCTTAAACAGATTGAGAAATTGAAAGTCTTATATTACACTTTTAAAGTAATCGACTATATATTGTCAAAAACTGTAGAAATTACTTACATCAATGTTTTCTTCGATCATCTGTTGTTGTTTTTATCCTCGTCGGTGGCCCTACCACACAACCACCATCTTCGTCATTCGGCCACCCGTTGCCAAACCCCAACTGCCATCATTGGAAAAACTGATATGCTGGTTTCATTCCTCGAGAGTTGCTACTTAGTAAAGCTGATCATAGAATCTCCGGAATCACAATAAAATACAGTGGATCACATGGCCGGTTCTCAGTTGGCAGAGCGTCGTGCTAATAACGCGAATGTCATGGGTTCGAGCCCCATATCGACCAAGTAGTATTTTTTTTAAA